CGGTTTTAGAAAAAACAAAAGAAAATGATGGAAATGTCAAAAAAATAAAATAAAATAAGTTCCCCATGTGATATGTGGTCTACTTGTTGGGAAAATTTATAAATATGAATTTCGACCTTATTTGCAAAATCTCTCTGGAATTTGTAAAATGGGCATAACTTTTGCATACGAACTCGGATTAAAAAAAATTATAAGAAAAATCATCTACTCGAAAAGTTACATCCGAATTTAACTGGGGGAACCCCGTTAAACATTTTTAAAATCCTCAAAAACCTAACAGAAAAAAGTTACGAGGCTTTTAAGATCTAGAGTGGAAAAAATCGAAAAAATTACTAGTCAAATCTGGTCAAACTGTCGTCAAACAATGGTCAAACTAATTATTCTAGAATATTAGTGTTACTAAATAATTATTTCAGTTATTTTGAATTTTGGTCAAATCTGGTCAAACTATGGTCAAACTAATTATTCAAGAAATATTAGTGTTACTAAATAATTATTGTTTTTTAAAACAATAGTTTCAAATTCAAACAGTGAAATGTGTCACTTCATGCTCAAGCAAAATTCATGAAGGTTAATAGGATTGACATCTTACTATTGTCAGGAAAACAACAAGTGCAGACTTGGAAACGAGAGAGAATAGAACCCGGAAGTTAAGCGTGCTCAAGCTGGGGGAATGGGAGGATGGGTGACCGTTCGGAAAGTTAGATGATTTGGAATGATGAGGGGTGATTAGAGGATAAATTGAGCAGTGATCAGGGGTGGTGATTACACACTAGAGGTTAAAATAATTCAGAAATTTGAAAATTAAAAAAAATCAAAAAAAATCATAAAATTTTCTTTAGTCCCGGTTGATGTTACCAACCGGGACTAAAGGTGAAGCTCCACGTGGCCGCGCCCTTTAGTCCCGGTTCGAAAACCGGGACTAAAGGGGCCTTACCAACCGAGACAAAAGCCCCTTTTTTTACTAGTGCGTGACAGGAAAATGGATGAATAATTATGAAGTACTCCCTCCGTCCCAAAATATAAGAACGTTTTTTACACTAGCATAGTATCAAAAACGTTCTTATATTTTGGGACAGAGGTAGTATCTGTTTATGCATATCGTACATCGAAACAAGAAAAGGACATACATGTAAATTATGTCGGGTAACTTGCTTGGATTCTTACCTGATTTTGAGTTACTTCATAACAATGCACAATTAACTGTCTATGATTTTCCATTCACACAATGCAGCTATTTATCTTTCGATATCACAAGAACGTCAAGAAATTCATATCTTCGTTATCCTTAGTGCTCGACTACTCGCAAAAAAAAACACATAATACTACTAGTACTACAAGCCAAACCACAAAAAACAAGGGCAATGACGACATCAAACATGTTCTTCATACTTAAAGGTTGCGCCTGGATTTAATTGGGCATAATCACGTGCATGACAACTACATAGCAAAAATCTTAAAGTCCTTCAGTTACAGAAGATTTCAACAACAGTGACTCTTCGTCTATTAGCCTTTTAGCATGGAGCCGTAGTTTCTTTAGCACATTTTTGAATGCCAGGTCTTGATGAGTTTTATGCACTGGAGCAAGGCTCTCTTCATGTAAGCTGAATCTTGAACCAGGGATGAAGCCCATAAAAAAGGCGTGTGTCTCGGTGACCGGAAGAATGCCCTCTAGAACTCGACGGCTAGGATCATATGAGTAAACCTTTTTCTGAAACTTGTCGTGAACCACGTGCTTGCTAGTAGCAATCACAATCTTCTTCCCCGACTTGCAACTGCCAACAGTACCAATAACCCTCACAACCTGTTCCTCAGCAAATTCACCTTTTACCTGCCCGACAAATCGATTCGATGATTCAGCGACCAATCACCGGAGCCATAATCCAGCAGTCCCCAAATCTCCAAGGTGCCGCCATGAGGGATTCCGTCGCGAAGGTCCCGGACAATGCACAGCTGGTCGTCCATCACAACCAGGTGCTCTCCTTCTGACTGGGACCAGGAGCGCGGATGTTCTCTTGGTCCCCAGAACGGCGGTGAACGGACACATCCGAAGGTCTCCTCTGCGACTGAAAAGGATACGATAGCAGCTCTTAGCCTTCTGATGATAAGTGAAGGATTGATCAACCAGTGCAGGAATCCGTTCGCGAACGCAGGCGGTATTTTGTTCACCGCCGCATGTTGAACTGCAGAATTTGTAAACTGGGACCATTTGAAGGGCACTCCTCCAGTCGCCGGCCTCCAGCGATCGGCTCCGGGTGCGCACACATCACAGCTGATCGTCTCCTTCTCATCGGAAAGCCCATTGATCAACCTCACGACCTTGTACTCCCTTGTCCGGGCGTCAAATCCCAGCCCGGCACTGGAATCGTATGTGGGAACACGGTGCGGTGGCAGGCGTGTGATCACCCTTGTAGCCGCATTGCAAACATAGTAAGCCGGCGCCGCGGCGTCATACAGGAGCGTGAGCCCGCAGCATGGCGAGGGCGTCACCATTTCAACGGAGTTGCGGCGGGCGCAGTCGAAGGTGAAGAGTAAATCGTCTACGGGGCTTGACGGAGAGCAGGCGTACACTGCAACGGAGCCAAATGTTGGTGCGGGCGAGAGCACCAGTAGATTGGGGGCGCGGGGCAGCATCTTAGAGGTGGCCATGTGGAGGCTGCAGAAATCCTTGGAGGGCAACATTGCGGCCCAGGAGCGGCAGACGGAGCGGAAACGCACAATGGATTTGACCGGGAGCCGGAGTAGAAGCTCCAGTATCATGTCATCAAACAGATACAATGGCCCTCTTCCTCTTGTTGCTCGGGAGGAAACCGATCCCGGGTTGTTCCTTTTCTCGGTTGGAAAGAGTTTGTCTCTCGTTGATTGCTTATTACTGGGACTATAACAGCGAGAGGCCCCCTTTTGGACCCCAAGATCACAGGGGATTATTAGGGGCAGATAGTCATGTCGTAGATTTCCTCTTGGTTCACGTGAGAGTTTATTATGTGGGTGCTCAGGCACTGAGTCGATGACCAGCACCCTGAGACCGAGCTCAAGAAATGGCACCCCCACTCGAAATGAGCAACGAGAATGGATACAACTTCCGACTAAGCTGCGATGCATTACATACAAATTTGGTAAACTCTATCCCAGAACTCTGCATATCATGAAGCATTTATTCCATTTTGTCAAGCATCACGAATATAGTGCAAAAGGGGCCCTCTGGCACATTCCTTTGATTGGAATTGTTCATTAGGTTCTGACTTGTTGCTTGACAAAATAAACCGGCAAGGTGCCAGAGCGTATATTTGAGCGTGCCAGCTTTGGCGTCAAATTGTGTACTATATAGGACCAAAGATACAAGAGGACTTGTGTTATGGAAATCATAATAACATGAACTCGTACGTGATACAGACAAGGTACAGCAGAAAGGTGTCCCCTAGACAGAGAGATCCTCAAGCACAAGGAGCAAAAGCACAAACACATGACACACCTCACAGCTGCTGTCATCTAATAAGAATATAATATGACCTAGATCGGAAACAAAGAATCAGCTATATATGCCCCCCAAGAACAGGGGAGAGATCGATGTCACCAAACAAGGAGTAAAGGTGAACACACACTAGGGAACGATAAGTCGACAAAAAATTATTTTGACCATGCAACTGCGTCGATCTCTGCTTGGGCGCTCCGGTATAGCTCCAGCCTCTTGGCGAGGTTTGTCCTCCGCTCCATGACCGCGGGGTCCTCGTCGAGGAGCTTCGAAAGTTGCCTAATCTGCATATGCACATGTACGTTAATTATTGATATTCCACCGGATTTCTCTTAAAGACCCAAGGGTAGTGTGAATCATGAGTATTAAAAAACTAAGGACTAAAATTGACTAGTTGGCTGGCAATGTACTACCGCATGGTACAGACAGAAACATGCATCACCATGGAAGAAACATAGCTCAGAAATAACTTAAAATCTACATATTAGCGGATTTCTAAAGTACGCAATGAATAAACAGAGAGTCCATGTTAGACTGTGGTGAGAAATACATGCATACCAACAGCTAGAGTCTAGAGATGATAAAAGGAAAAATGAACTCTCTGAAAATATATATTAAGCAATAAAAGAACCCTATATCAAATCTACAGTAACATCACCAATCAGGTCGCACTTGTATGTTCCAAATCGAAGACTCAAAGGACCTCCACGTGTTTCAAAAATCTTACCTCTCTTGCTCCCAGCTCAGTAAAGAAGTGGTCGAGCAATGAGCGCTTTGCCTCACGGACTTGGCAGTACACAATAGATTTTGGGATGGAGTTTCTCAATGTTGAAGATACCATGTTAACATATGCCAGAACAGTTGTCCCTGAGGTTGAGTAGTAATTAGTAAATACAAATAAAAAATAAGGTATCGATCAAGCAATACACAAAGACGTGCTAAATAGAGAACATATCAAGTGAGACTCAATTGTGACCAAATATGGAAATTTTAGCTGCTTCAAACTCTAATAAAGATGAATCAATATACTAGCATATCAACCTTGAGAGAATACCACTGTCATTGGGCAATTATGGAAGGGTATAATAAAGGAGTAATAAGTGTATAAAAGATACGTAGATGCCTTACCAATTCGTCTTAGATAAGAATCATTATATCTATCGAAAATAGAGTGGCTTGGATTTCCACCCTTCTCAACATCCTGAGGAAGCTTCCTGAAGAAATCTACAGTTAAGTAGCTTGTTTCCATATCAACTAGCTTTAATGTGTTCTTCTTGCTTTCATCCCTCATTCTTTCCAACGACTCAAAAGCTGCATTGCCAACTTCCACACGAAGAGTGGGGAACTGCTTGAGCTCCTGGAGAAAGGTAAATGAACATTTCGGCTAAGTATTTAACCAGCATTTTTAATTAATTAGACTACCTTTTCTTTTCAAATCCACTTATACATCTGCCTACAATCTTAATGCTCAAAGTTCTGCAGAAGATCTGAGTTCATATCAATAAGAAATACCTATCCGATGCAAGTACTATCTTTATTTATAAAAAATCAAACACTACAATTTTATTTTGATTTAGAAATGTATCCCGTCCTAATACAGCCAGTTAATAACTCATCACACCACCAGAGAGCACATATGCTCTAGTTTATACTCCCTCCGTTCTTAAATATAAGTCTTTTAAGAGAATTCACTATAGACTACATAGTGAGCAAAATGAGTGAACCTATATATACTCTAAAAGGCGTCTATATACATCCGAATGTAGTCTCTATAGTGAAATCTCTAAAAAGACATATATTTAGGAACGGAGGGAGTAGAAAATATTATGATTGCATCATGTAGATAGTGTAAGAAAACTTATTTGGTAGGAACTGCAGAACGACTTACATGAGTTTCATTTATAGCCTTGTGGACTAGTTCCTTTAGGATTCCATGGACCTGTCAATGTGGCAAAAAAAAAATCACGTTCTGAAACTATTAAACCAGCATTGCTGAATAAGTAACAATCTGGTTGCTCGGTGAACCCAGTGGCAAAAATAAATAATTTTGAACTGCTGAAGCTTTTATTGAGCAGATTAATCTAGTCGGCCTACCGTGTCAACAGCTGCCTCGGCAGGACCTCTGATACTAACAAGACAAGATTCTATGAGGCGCCGATATCCTTGCTCTGGAGCTATCAAGTGAGGCTGGTATCCATCAGCTTCCGTTATGAGCTTCCTCACATTTTCCATTGACAGTTGCTTATCAAACTGCAACCGTTTAATTGCCACAGGAAATTGATTGTCAAAGACATGGTAAATTTTCTCACCACCAGGGCGCCTGGATAAAAGAATATTTGGTTGGTCATCATGATTAGAAACAGAATAACAAGCACATAAGCAAAGTTGCAACTGGTGGAATGGAATGAGTGTGTGACATTTTGACATGATATTGCACACATTAGCAGCAAATTATTTAGTTGCTCATTTAGCAAAGCAGTTCAAGGGTCATGTAAACATGGTATTGTTTATTTCAACATCCGTGAGAATAAAGAAGGTCAAAACAACAGACAATTAGCTGGTAACACAAAATTGCCAGACCAGATATGCACAGTGGTGAGTATAGTATTCGTCTTGCATATGTATTCATTTTGCATATTCCAAGCTTAATTACTAGATGCCTACAATTATATGGTTGACAATTATATGGTTCCTTTCATCTGAAAGGAAATTGTTATGGCAATTGTACATCTAAGGCTGATCAACCTACGCAATACAATAAGTTTATGAAAGAGAAACCGAACATTAAGAACTTTCTGTACAAAATACAAGAAACAAGGACAATCTACTAGAGAGACCTGCGTTGCATATATTTATTTATTTTACTATAGACCTGTGTTGCACCACACATGTACACGCCACAACACCAAATTAGTCAACAGGATTAGGAACTTTACTAGTATTAGATTGCCTGTATGCAGATCAGGAAAGATTAAACGTTGCCATTCAAAATTACAAAAGACCTGCTAGATATAGCAAGCATGATATTAAAAAAACTGAGCAAAAGAGAAATTCCGTTTAAGACATACACTCCATCCAGATGCTCTTTGTAGATGCCATCAAACATGCGGCATATTTCCATAATCGTGTACAGCTTTCCCTGCGTGTCACAAAATATACGATTATCACAATGTATGCAAGTTTATTGAGTGCTGAGCAAAGAAAAGAAAGTCACACTTAGACCCACACAATACAACGAAAATAACATCAGTGCATCCATCATAACTTGTAAAACTGGAAATAATCTATACAGGATTCATGAAAAGGATGTCACAGAAATATGACTATTGGGATGGAAGGTAAAAAAATCAAGAGATGAGATTCATTTACTTTGCACCAAGCGAGCATAAAGCATAAAACACAATCCCATCATGCGCAAATCGAACTAAGAACATTACAAAGATGGACATCAACAGTGCACAAAAATTTAATAGGAGTACATTTACTTCTACTCAATAACTAAGGCCATAAAAATAAAGACGGATGATAATAAATGTATGCTGGATCAGGTCAAACAAACTCATTTGATTAAAGAAGAAGCAAACTCGAGACTTACTCCAGCATCATTAGCAATGGGCTTTCCAAGACGAGTAAGTTCAGTTTCCAGCTCTGCAACTGTCTTCGTTATAAGAGACTGGAGACCAGGGATTCTTGATTTAATAACAGACTCCAAATGCTGCATTTACACCAAAAGTTTGTCAGAAAAAAAGCAAAATAGCATAAAATGTATTATGCATTAAAGAGCAAAGGCATACCTTTGATAGACTCTTTGCTAAATGTTCTGATCCCATCCTATGAGCGAGATGCTTGTATTCTGGTGTGTTTGCAAAATAGTCACGCTCTCTACGCCTAGCAGCAATCATGTCCACACTCTTGTTAATATCTTGCTGGGATCGATTGACAACACCAATCCATGGAAATTGGAGCCGGTAAGCTCTTCCTTCCAGTATCTGCACAATCACACTCAGTAAGATCTGGTTCGTGGAAATCTAGGATGGTCAATGATCAGATTAGCAAACATATGTTCTAACGCATGTTATCTATTTGCAGCTGGGATAATATTTGTGAGTGAAAACACAGTAATCAGGGGGTTGTTAGAACTGAAGTTGTGTTTGGATTGTTTATAAAGTGTACTTTGCCAACTTTATGGCAATGACCAAAAGTTTGGACTGTGTTTGGTGGACGATGGTTACCGATTATTTGGCATGCCAAATGCCACCTAGCCCACTCTAGTTCATTTTTGTTGCCAACTTTGGCTAACTCATGGGCAAACAAAACCTTCACCATATTTTGGCTAGCCAACTTTTTGGTAGGGAAAGTTTGGGCTAAAAGCAAACACACCATGAGTTTCTTTGAACAAACATTAACTCAAAGGTTTGGGCATACATAAGAAGATTCAAAATCCATGGTATTAATGGTATTAGTCCATATATAGCCATACTGAAAAGGAGGGCCGTACAATTTCAAGAGTGGAAACTTATGGAAAGGTGGGGCAAAGTGAGGCATAATTGTCAACAAAGATCGGCAGATCGCTAGTAGTAACAAGATTGGGTGGTCCGTAGAAGATCAATCACCTTAAGCAACATCACAGTAAGGAAGATAGCATAACTATAAAAAAAGGCCAGTGTTTAACTTATGGAAAGGTGGGGCAAAGTGAGGCATAATTGTTAACAAAGATCGCTAGTAGTAACAAGATTGGGTGGCCAGTAGAATATCAATCACCTTAAGCAACATCACAGTAAGGAAGATAGCATAACTATAAAAAATAGGCCAGTGTTTAGCACTTGATGGTTGAACTTACATCAACAGCATCAGTACCCTTGTCCATTAAATCAATTTTCGTGAGCACACCAAAGGTCCGTTCACCTGAATCAACAAAAAGTAAAGTTCAAGCTCAGAAATGGTTAGAAGTGCCAAGAGCAATGGTACTTGAATTAAACGCAATTATTATATGTGAATTTTCCTTTCCATTAACAGAGTTGGCCCACAATAGGATCACACAAAAAAAACATATCAAGCCAATTGTCAATATAATATGGTTGATATCCACAAAGACAAATTGCAAGGTACAGGTATTATCAGTAGACAGTAGTTATCATTATATCTCCTATTGGTTCAAGAGATAAGGTGAAGATCACATCAGTCTGAAGTTTTGTAGCATATTAAAAGTAAAGAAACCCAGAATAATAAGCTTTAAGAGACATTAGTAATAGGGAACATACTATGACATTAACCACATTACACAAAATGCAGTTCACCGAACCGGCTGCAACAAAGGCATACCTTTTGGGTCAACTTCCCGTGAAATCTTGATAGCATCAGAAGTCGCAAGATCCTGATTGGCTGGAGAAACAGCCAGAATGATGCAGTTGGGCTGAAAAATACCGAAAAAGTTGTTTACACAGTGCATGACACGATAATTAGCCCAAACATGCTACCATATGAGATATGGCTGATAAAAAAGCATATTAGACCAAATATGCATTACATAAATACTTGTAAAATTTGTACATAACCAAATATAGCCCCATCTTATACAGGCAAGACAAGCATGGTAAGCAATGATAAAGAGCAATTACTGGGAAGCAACATTTAAGCTGGTTACACTTAAATACCTTTTCAATGAATGCTCGAACCATGCTTTCAATTTCCTGAACAATACTCTCCGGCTGACCCTCTAACAAGCATAAAGACAGTAGCATATAAAAGAATGAACATCTTAAACAAGAATAATAGAAGAACGATGGCTCATATGGTATAGTCACTTACCAACAGCAACTTTAGTAAGCCCGGGAAGATCAATAAGAGTCAAATTCACAACTGCAATGATAAGAAGTGTTACGACATGACAAAAATAAAGAGGACAAACCATACAAAGAAGTTCTGAAGGGGGAATACAACATGGCTATCCTACCAATGACTAGGATGACTCCGTACTAAACTGATCAAGGGATAAGCTAAAGGTAAATCACAATACCAGCAGCAAACAACAATCTTTTGAATTGAAAAATGGAGGTGCATGACTATTTGAGATTGACAAAGCACTAAAATAACACCATTAAACCACTCCCCTGCTGTACAGACTTATTACTAGCATTGCTATCAGACCACTTACCGTTTGGAGAAAATATGCTTAGATGGATGGGGACAGATGATATTCCCTTTCCATGGCCGGTTTGTCTGTCAGTTTCATCAGCTATCTCCTTCCTCACCATGGCTGCAACGATACAAATTTCATCATGTGACGAGTAGCATCGAGGTGAACTATAAGAAAATGAATTAAAGAAGCACTTGACAGAGAATTTTGCCAACAGTTGCAAGGCTTGGCTTATCTTTTAGGAAATAACAAGCTACAGCTTAGTGTGGCAGTTTGAATAACAGTGAGTTCTGACATCAAGTTGGATGTTTTGATGAGCCTCACAAACTCAAATTACATTCCACATATGCCAATATGGTTCAATATTATCACAATAACCCCTCAACCATGCATTAATCCTAATATTATCATCATAGCAGTAGCACTTGAAATCAAGACGAAGAATAGATGAATTACCGAAATCGGTGAATCTCTTCCTGGGGACATGCATGAACTCTGCATACTCCCTGTCTCCATCAATCCTATGGAGTTGCAGAACCAGCGGGCGACGGGTGACAATGCCTGCAGAATCAAACCAAACCAAACAAATTAATGCGTCAGAAAAAGCAAAACAGGACGCCAAAATCGACAAGCTCTTACTGCTTGAACAACCATACCTGAACCCCTGGGCAGGAAATCCTTCCCAACAACGCTCTCCAGCACTGAAGATTTGCCCGAACTCTACAGTGTACCAAAGGAGTTCAAATGTCAAAACACAGAACCGTGTACCCACTCGCAATGAGATGCGCTTGAACTACTCGTAACAGCGCAGGTTCATGCAGAATTGCTTGGAACTACGAGGATTTTCAACGCACAGCTTAGTTGATCCCAAGTAGTGGTAGTATCTAGCTTCCAATTACTGAATTACTGGTCATGTGGGCAGCTACGTGCAACGAAACTGTAGTGGCGGGTTCAAACAAGCAGCAGCGGCCCAAATCTAGCTGCCAGCGCCTACGGCAGCGGCAGATCCGAGCACGGCGAGACCGCGTGTCCGCAGCCAAATCGCGCCAGCAAGCTCGCGAGATCCACCAGACATAGCTGGGGCGCCAGATCCGGCGGAGGGGGGAGAAAACGAACGGGGCGCGCACCTGGCCGCCGACGACGGCGATGGACGGCAGCGAGTCCCAGAGGGTGGGGAGGGCGCTCTCCTCGCCGTGGTCGCCGAGCGCCGTGCAGGCGCGCTGCAGCTTGTTGACGAGCGAGATCAGGTTCTCCATGGCCGCCGGCGCGGGATCTGGCCG